ATGAGGGACAACATTGTCTTTCTTGTAACTTAAGTTTTATGAATAAAAGTCAAGTGGGTCGGCTAGGTGAGAGGGATTTTTCATTTTTCTCTCTTCTAGTCTGGCCGAACATTCTTCTCCTTCTTTCTCTCTTCTTTCTTCTTCCTTCTTCTCTACTTTAACCTAGAATGAACTAGGGTTTATTCACAAGGCTCTTCTATTTGAAATACTAAGTGAGCCACCATTGTCTGTTCCTCTTTATGTAGACAACATCAGTGCAATCAAAATTGCATCCAATCCCGTCTTCCATGAGTGCACCAAACACATAAAAGTTGATTGCCACTTCATACGCAATCTCTTTCTTAAGGGTACCATATCTCTTCCTCATGTCTCCTCCGAGCTTCAACTGGCAGACTTGTTAACTAAAGCAATGACACGGGCTCAGCATCTATTTCTCATGGACAAACTGACGCTTATTCCTAGGCATCAGTTTGAGGGGGAATGTAGAGACAGTGAAATCTAGCTGTAGGGCTATTTTTTTACCTTTACTTTTCTTTTCTATATATCTCTCTTTGTATTATATCTCTCATGTATATTAAGGGCAGATTTGTCCTTTTACAACTTAATATAAATATTTCTTTTAGGGTGTCAACTGACACAAGTTTTCACATCCACCATTCAACTGCGTTGTCTCTCTCTCTTTTTCTTTCTCAGTTTTTCGATATGACTCTGACAAGCAAAGCTGGTACAACACATGGGCTTAAGCTCTCACGGATCAACCCCTTCTTCAACAACTCTGTTACCTGTCTTTGGAGCTCCTCATGCTCCTTAGGACTCATTCTATAAGGGGGTAGGTTAGGCAATGCTGCTCCTGGCATTAAATCTATATGATGTTGTACATCTCTTAGGGGAGAAAGGCCATCGGGTAATTCTTCAGGCATCACATCAACATACTCATGAAGTAGCTTCTTCACCAACTCTGGGACAGGTGTTTCTTTGCTAACTTCTTTTGTAACCAGCACGTAAACAACATCCAAATTCCCATATTCTTGAGCCAACTTATTTGAGGTGAAGGGAGTAGTGGTTGGCTTTGTTTCCTTATTTGGAAATGAATCAAGTTGCATTGGTTTAAGAGTTATCTTCTTATTGTCTTTCACAAAGCTGTATGTGTTCTTGTCCCCATAATGAGTAGTCTTACGGTCATATTGCCATGGGTGACCCAAGAGAATATGACATGCATCCATTGGGACATCACACCATACCGTTTCTTCAAATGTATTACCAATAGAAAAATTAACTAGGCATTTAGAAGAAACTCTTACCTCATTTCCTTTGTTGACCCACAGAATATGATATGGTCGGGGGTGTTGAACAATCTTGAGCTGTAATTTATCCACCATCTCTTGAGAAACAAGATTCTCACTACTCCCACTGTTAATAATCATGTTACACAACTTCCCACTAGCTGTACAACGTGTTCTAAAGATATTCTTTCTCAACCAGTCCCCTGGTAGTGGTTCTTGAGGTGCAATTATAGAGTGCCGTATCACTAGAGCCTCACCCTCAATATCCTCATCCAAGTTTTCTTCCTCTAAAGCATTAGCTCCAACAGCTTCAGCCACTTGCCCATCCTCAACATGGCCTATATCATCTTGTTGTTCATCAGTGACTTCATCAACCAGATGTGTTTGCCCTTCAATCATTCTCTTAGGACATTCATTTGAATGATGTCCCAACTCCATACACCTAAAAAATCTAATAGTAGGCTGCCCTTGACTGCTCTTTGTTGCATTTGAAGTCCCTTGGACTGTAGGGTGTGTTTGGTTGATCACACAACCCCTACCAGCCCGAACACTTCGACTTACTGATGAAGATGTACCTTGGACAACACTTAGCCTCCACCCTGCGCTCTGACTCAATTGAGCTTCAACCTTTAGAGCTAGCTGATATGCACCCTTTATCTTATATAGGCAATGTAGGTTGACTTGATCTTGTATTGGCAACCTCAAACCATTGATATATCTACTAACTTTTTGCTGTTCAGTTTCTAACATATTACTCCAAAGAGTTAATCTATTAAACTCTTTTGTGTACTCCGTCACACACTTTTCCCATTGCCTTAAATTCTGCACCCTTTGATAAAGAGTTTGCTCATAGTCTGGTGGTAAGAATTGGGATTTCAGCTTCTCTTTCATTCTTCCCCAGGAACTAACCTTTCTTTTCCCCTTCCTTTCTCTGTCTCTTTGGTAATTTTTCCACCAATCTAAGGATGTCCCATGCATCTTGGCTGTTACAAGCTTCACTTTTCTTTCTTCATTTATTTCTTTCCAATCAAAATAATTTTCAATACTGTTCAACCAATCTAGAAGCTCTTTAGGTTCCAACTCACCATCAAACTCGGAAATATGAAGTTGAACACCATGACCTCGATTGTATTGTAAAGCTTGCACTATTCAGTCTTTCCATCGCTGGTTGTTATTCCTTCCATNACCTCGATTGTATTGTAAAGCTTGCACTATTCAGTCTTTCCATCGCTGGTTGTTATTCCTTCCATGCTGATCACCTTCAGGTTGCTTAATGTCTTTACTTGATTCTTCACTAATAATGTCAATGAGTTGATCATCAACTCTAGGAGCTTGTCTTTTTCTTCCTAGTCCCAAATCATTTGTTACATCACCATCCTAGTAGCATTTTGAGCTACAAGTTGAGAAAGATGTTCAATCTATTCTTGCAGTCCTCTTATAGCCCCTTGGAAAACCTTTACGGTGACATGTTATGGTCTTCTACCACCCCTACCACGTCCACCCCTTGCAGCCATGATAATATAGAAAACACAAGAAGGAGATGAAGTTTGAAGCAAACCCAAGGAAATAACTTGCTCTGATACCACTTGATGTGGATAGAAAGACAAATTACATGCAGTACCTCAAGTATACAGCAATACGCACAAGAAATACCAAGCTGAAAACAGCAAAATAAGTTGGATCTTTAGGGATTTCAGACCTGAACCTGAAGTAAAACTCCTCCTGGAACAGTTCTGCTACAGTAACGATGGCAGCATGCTGGCCTCCCGTGCGGACGTGCAGCGATAGAGGGATTGGAAGGTGCCAAAATGGGTCGACTCTTCAAAACCCAAGCTCCCAATGCTTGAAAACCCTAGCTGGGGCTAAGCTACAGCTCAAACAAGAGAGAAAGAACCAAAAAAGATCCCTACAACAGCCCCCTTCTCTTCTATAAGATTCACTGGCTTGCTGGATAAGCTAGTTAAAATATTTACACATAAGCCCCTAGAATGTTTCTCTCTCACCAACAACTCCTTAGGAACAAAACTAACTTCAAATGAACACCTAAAAGATAACTTTTGTTACAAAAAGACCCAAGAGACCAAAACCCAACAAAAATGCACCCAATTGCCCCTGACAAAAAATCTGACTTATAAAATGACGAAAATACCCTGGTCCCAAACTGTCAACAAAGCTACCCAAAGACAACAATTTGGGATCCCACTACAAAAAACATGCAAAACAGAATACATTCACATATTTTTTTTCACTTTTTTTTTGCCTCATCACATCATTAATATTTTAAAAAATATAAAAGGACATGCTCTTATAGATAATTATATCATTATAAGGTGATAAATTGATGCTTATAAAGTGATTACACCATTTTAAGATGGTATCTTTGTCAACTTAGAATAAATTTAAGGGATTAAAAATATTATATATTATCCATTTTTGATATTTTAATTATAAGAACTATTTTGTTATGTTTTATCTAATACAAAAGTTATGCCTTACATAAAGACATATGACTATGCTTCCTATGCTATTATAATGCTTATCTTCTTGTAAAAGTTGTCAAGGCATCACAAAGGGGATTAGGTGCCCTTGGCTGGGCACCTCGCCTAAATGCCTCGAATTATAGCAACAAGGCACCTGTCAAGGCAACAAAAATGACAAGGTGGGTGCCTTATTATAATATAACTCATATTGTTTTTCTTACTAATATTTCTGTTAAAACATTCTATTATATACTAATATTTGTTTTAAAGTTTTACTATTGAAATTTAAAAGATCAAAGGATTTTGAGAAGAGAGAAAGAAAGAAAGAATAGAAACATAAAATGGTTTTTTCCACTCTATTGTGCATATGAAGTCCTGAAAATTGTAAATATGAAATTTATACAACTATGATCCTGTCTGATATGTAATTGTATGATTGTATCAAACCACAGATGCTCTATGACTCCTATTATGCTAACAAGTCCACAAATATAATTTCTTTTTTGTACTTTGTATATGTTCTGCTTTGTGGAACCATATATTGTGAATATGAAGTAGTATAGAGATGAACATAGGTGGTTATATGAATGTGTTGATATCTATATCCATGAATGTATTTTTGTGCATGCATACATGGATATTGTTTGATTGCTTCCTGAAATTATCTCCTTTACATGTTAGATTGGAAAGGATGTTGCTGCACAATATGTTGAGGGCTGGGACTGGATGGCTCCTATTAGGTAGAAACTCCATATTCTGGTCAGAGTATGTTTGTTTGGTTTTCCTCATTTCACTTGCTCTTATTTCCATTAAATTTGTACCCTTGAAATTCCTATATAAGATTTACTTGAATAATTGGAACTTTAATTACTTTTGATAGAATAGTTGTTAGATGACTCTTTGTAACCCACCCTTTTTAAACAGGCAGGGTGGTTGATCGTTATTGTTCTGCTCATTTTTCTCTCCTTTAGAATAATGCTTGTTATCTCGCTTTGAAAATTTAGAGGGTAAATTGCTTAAGTCCTGGAGGGAGTTTTTTTGCCACGTTTAAAACATAGGGGAGGCTAAAGCAATTGTCAGAAAACATAGGGGAGGCTAAAGCAATTTACCCTAAAACTTATCCTATATTTAAGATGTAGTGTACAAAGGTACATATCAATGTTATTAACTGCACCAGCCTGAGAATGAGTGAGTAGAAATAGGTCCTTTATGGCTGTGGCTGAAGAACTTCAAATATGGTATCTTGATGATAACACAAGATTATATATATATATATATATAGTGATCAGTATGATAAAACAAGACTATATGTGCATATTATCAGTGTGTCCTTAAGATTTTTCTTCTCTTAGATTCTTCCTACTTTAGTAGTATTTAATTTAGTATTATTTTCAGGGATAGGAATACTGGCATCTGGGATGAAGTATCATTGTCTGTTACAGGGGTAAGCTTTCATCTGGAATTCTTAATTTCCTTTAGATATTGTTATAGAATTGATAATTTTCTGATTCCTTATTTATAACAAAAGTTCCTCCTTGGGTGCAACTTGGATCGGAGTGGGTCGGGTTGAGGTAAATCCTAGCTCAATTCAATGTGTTTAACTCTGAATTTTAATCCTGAATTCCTAACCTAGTCAGGTTTTCAACTTGATGTTCCTAACCCCAATCAGAACTGATGAAGGGTTGGTCTAGTAGGTATCAGGTTGGGACCTTGGTAACTGAGTTCACACATATATGCAGAAACATACATTACGTGCATGGACATTTTGCATACACATATAATGCATGGAACTCATATAATAATATTTTACAGAGTCACCACTTGTCGTCCTTATCTTTGCTTTGGATAAATACTTTTATGTATGTGTTGGGTTTAGGGTGCTGAAGGCCTCAACCCCTAACCAAACCCAATTTATCTGTTGCAATTTTCAAACCTTGATCCTAGGCTAGCTTTCTACCCATTGCAACCAAATCTTTTTTTTTTTTTTTCCAATTGGCAGCAATACAACTTTGTGAAAAAAATATTTTTTTTTATCACTTGGAGAAGACTTAGGATACAAGAAAAATACAAATCAAAATTTAAAGTTACATGTCCATAAAAGAAAAGATATATGAAACAGAGCATGGGGCAGCTATTGCAAAGTGACCATTTTGTTTCTTGTTTGTTGTCAATTAACAGAAAATCCAGTCCTTCAGTAGATTGTATTTGTACATATTTTTCTTGAAGCATTTATTTGTTGAATTGTTCAGTATATTGCATAGATAATTGAAGAACTAAAAAGTGCCAGAAAGATATTTGTTTATTTTTTCAATTATTGTTCCCCATGTTACCGTGTATTGCCATTAGAATCTAAACATATGACACAAAGTTCTTAATTGGATAAAAAACAATATGCCTCTCAATTTAAGCTTGAACAAGATATTGAAGGAAAGAAGTTTCAGACAGGTTGAAACACTGAAGCAACAATATATATATATATATATATATATATATATATATATATATATATATTACATTACCGATTTATGTGCCTTGCACCCCATATTATTTCTATGTACCTCAGATTGCCAATCTGTCATCCAAATGGTTAGCTGACCTTGGAATCCGACTAAGTTGAGCTTCAGTTTTTGAAGATAATTTTGAGATTTCTGTCAGCATATTCCTGTACTTGCAGGGCCCCACAGCATTGTTCTTCACTGAAGCAATTTCAACTTTGAAATCTCCTTCAACCTGTAGTCCTTTGTATTTGAGTGACTTGACAAGCCTAGGATGGTAGGACCATGTAGCACTCTGCCCATAATTCTGCTCTAACTGATCTCAGCCCTAGTAAACCATGTATAGGTGCAATTTTACCTTGATAAAGGAACACACTAATCTTTTTAGACATGGGCTGACCAATCTCGGGTAATGGATCCCGAATCAATCTTCTAAATTCATGCCAGAGCATTAGTATGTTGACCTTGATGAGGTGGAATGGAAGAACAGGCTTAAATTAGCTGATCCCTTGTGGTTGGGATAAGATTTTGTTGAGTTGAATTTGAGCATGATCTACCTTAGATCACTAATCTGGAGTTCTTGAGTGATTGAAGGTTTTCCGGATTGAGATTAGACAACATGTCAACACAAATAACTTAATATTTTTTTTAAAACTTCTATTGCTATTATTGTTATTACTATTTTTATTTTTAAAATATTTAGTAGAACATAGATTTAGGTTTAACTACTTAGTGGGGATAATTATATGTCGTGTCTCCTGCCTCACACATCAATGGATTGACAGAACCTTCTTCTCTCACACATTCAGTTTTCATTACACAATAAAGGGTGGTATTTATAATACTACCATTTTCCTACTTAGGTGCCATAAATTATGTCATATTATTTGATAGACTATCGTTTCCTTGGTGATATATGACCATTTGGTACAATGGGTGCAGCCAGTTAAAATATCTGATCCTCACCTGGTATCGTCATTCTTTGACAATTATAAGAGGGCATATCTGCATACAACTACTGAGTTGGAAAATAGAAGTGCATGGGTTGCTGAATGTTTATTGAATATCCAAGTGACAACGGAACTGGAAGGAAGAATTTGCTTAGTTGAGCATCTACATACTCAAAACTTGTCAATTCCTCCTGGGGCACATGTTCAATATACATTTCCTCCGGTCAGTAGTATGTCATTTTTATTTTGTTTGTTGGAGTTCATAAAGTAAACCAATATGCTTCAGCTTATATACCATTGAAGATTATCGATTATCCTTACTTAGTAGGATGAATAGTTTTTTGATTGGATCTCTGTTCTATATCATTCTGATATTTATTTTATGACATTCTTGAACTCTATGAATGACTTGATTCTTTTTTTTTTTTTTATGGTAAAGTAAACATCTTGTTAAAAAAGGAAATAACAGTATAACATAATCTATGACTTTATTCTTTTCTTTATGGTAGTATAAAAAGGGAAGCCCTGTGCACGAGGGACAGATGTACGCGGCTTTACCCCTGAACTACAAGTTCAGGCAATTACTGATTTCCTTCCCCTACAGACAATGTGGGATCTATGAAACGGCATCTGACTTTATTTTGTATGTGCCTTTTAATGGGTCTCAACATGTCTGTAAGGTGGTGTATCCAAGAGTCACATAACATCATTGTTCATTGCCAATTCCTACAATAACATGTTACCTTTCTCAGTGAAAAGAATGGGAGAGATGTCTAGTCTTACCTGTAAGACCATGAAAAGGTGTACAAATTCTTTATAGTTTCTTTCCATGGGTCCCATCATCTATGCAAGGTGATGTTTCCAAGAGTTGCATAAACTCATGGTTTACTAGCAATTCCTTTGTAATAACATTTACCTTTTCTGATGTAAAGAATGAAGAAAGATGGGTGGAAGTGGATATATCCAGCCTTACCTGTTACAGTTCTAAGTGGCCACCATTAAACTGTTTATTTGCTAAAACAGGTTCATAGACAACCATTATGCAAATTGCATCAATAGCATTAATCAAGGTGCATTTTATGTCAATCTATGAGAAAGTGAAGAGACAAGAGGAAAGCCAATAGAAAGTATTTATATTAATAAAATGTGAATGGACAAGATTGTCCTTACAAAAGAATTAAAAAAGTTGTACACTAATGTATGCACCTACTAATGTACAAGAAAGAAAAGTAAACTTACATAACTACCCTCCATCTTCTCTACATTCCCCCTCAAACTGATGTTGGGGAATAAGCATCAGTTTGTCCACAAGAAAATTATGTCGGGCTTTGGTGAAAAGGTTTGCAAACTGTAGGCCCGAGGAAACATGTGGGAGAGAGATGTGATCCACGTGGAGAAGGTCATGAATGAAGTGGCAATCCACCTCAATATGTTTAGTGTGCTCATGAAATATGGGGTTGGATGCAATCTTGTTCACACTCATGTTATCAACAAATGGGGGAATGGCAGATGAGTGGTCGATGTCCATGTCATGAAGTAAAGCCTTAAGCCAAACTATTTCATTGCATACCGAGGACATTGCTCTATACTCTGCTTTAGTGGATGACTTGCAAATGGTTTGTTGTTTCTTGCATTTTCAAGAAATCAGAGAGTCACCAAGAAATATACACTAGCCAGTAGTAGAGTGACAGGTGTTAGGACAACTTGCCCAATCTGCATCTGCATAAGCTCAAATCTGAGTGGAGGAGGATGAGAAAAATAATCCATAAGACAATGTGCCCTTGGCATAACGAATAATCTGGAGAACTGCAGAAAAGTGGGGCTAACGTGGAGCAGATATAAACTGACTCACGAGCTGGGCTGCATAGGAAATGTCCGGTCAAGTCATAGTTAGGTAGATAAGACTACCTACAAGCTACCGATATAAAGTAGCATAAGGGAGGAGCTCACCCTCATCCTTACTTAGCTTGCGGTTAAGATGCAGAGGTGTATCCACTTGTTTAGAATCAGTCAAGCGAGCAAGTGTCACCAAATTAGAGGTATATTTCTGTTGGTTGGCAAAATAACCTTGAGGACATTACTGAATTTCAAGCCCAAGAAAATAGGTGATTGACCCAAGATCTTTCATTTTGAAGGAGTTGTTGAGAAGGAGCTTCAAGTTGTTAATGCCGTCTTCATCATCTCCGATGATAAGGATATCATCAACATATACCAAAAGAAGAGTCAACCCCTATGCTTGCTTGAGAGTAAAAAGGGAGTAATCTGAAGCGCTTTGCTGTAAACCAGCCTCCAACACCATTGTACGGAATGGTCAAACCACGCTCGTGGAGCTCGCTTAAGACCATATAAAGATTTCTTTAGTTTACACAACAAAAGAGGATTACCATAGTAGCCTGTAGGTGGTTTCATGTAAACTGCTTCTTGTAAATGCCCATGGAGAAAGTCATTCTTGACATCCATCTAATGAACTGTCCATTGTCTAAGAGTAGTAATGGCCAAGAGTAAATGGACTGTTGTCATTTTAGCCATTGGAGCAAAAGTTTCATCATAGTCGGTTCCATATTCTTATTTGTAGCCTTAAGCAACCAAACGGGCCTTATATCTATCTAGAGTACCATTTGATTTGAGTTTCACTGTGTAAACCCATTGACTACCAATGATGGAGGCATCTGGGGGAGGAGAGATAGGCTTCTAGGTATCATTCTTCAGTAAGGCCTGAACCTCTAAATCCATAACATCTTTCCAATGCTTAACTGCTATGGCCTGGTTGTAAGACTTGGGAATATCTGTGGATGACAAAACAACTAAGAAGGGGCTATGACTAGAAAAGAAACCATAGCGGTTAGGTGAACGAGAAATATGAGATGATCGACACAAAGGAATAGATGAAGGCAAATCCACAAGACGAGAAGAGGAACTTACAGTAGTGATGGATGAAGAGGAATAATCACTGGTGCTGGAGGTGGAGGAGGCATAGGCAATGGGTGAGCTGGATATTTCTTGGAATAAACCTGAAGTGTCCGAGATGTAGGAAGAGGATCACCTGCAGAGCCAAAATGATGTAGAATAGAAAAGATGGTGCAAGCAATTTACTAATGTGTTCAAAGAATGAAAGGTTCTCAAGAAAAATGACATTACGAGAAATGTGCAGTCTACGGACTTTGGGATCATAACGGAGAAATCCCTTGTGCTCCATACTATATCCCATGAATGAACACAACTGATTGAGCTGTTAACTTAGTGTGTTCATGGGGAGGAAGATGGACAAAATAGACACAACCAAAGACATGAAGCATGGATTGATTTGGTGGATGATGAAGCAAGGATTGATGGGGAGAAGAATTTCCAAGGATAGAAGTTGGAAGAATGTTAATGAGGTAAACAGCAGTGCTGGTCGCCTCCACCCAGAAGGTAATGGGAACATGGGAATCTTGTAACAAGGATGTCACCATAAATAGCAATGTGGTAATTCTTGCGCCTAGATACCCCATTCTGTTGAGGTGTACTTGGGCAAGATCTCTGGGACTGAATGCCATGTTGTTTGAGATAGGTTTGAAACTCACCATCCTCACCATCATAGCACTCTCCCCCTAAATCTGACCTCAAAATGCTTATAGTGCTTTTAAACTGGGTCATGACCATAGCATGAAAGTTCTTAAAAGTAGGAAAAACCTTTGATTTCCTTCAAAGAAAATAAACCCATGTGTATCGAGTACAATCATCAATAAACAACACAAAATATTTATAGCTCAAGTGTGAAATAACTGGAGATGACCACACATCACTATGAAAAGGTGTAGAAACATGTTCAATAGAAGATGGAAAAGGAAAAATATGACTTTTACTATAGCAGCAAGTTAAACAAGATTTGTCAACATTCTTAAATGAAGTAACAATCATAGGAAAACAACCAAAAGAAAATAAATAATCCAAGTTTTTAGCATGAGCGTGACCCAAACGTCTATGCCATAAGTGCCACACATTATTACAGGAGGTAGAAGAAAAACTAGAAGTAATAGATATCAAAGAAGAGTCTGGTGAAGTTCTGTTATTCTCAAATTCCAGAACAAATAGTCTTCCAAGCCTACGCCCCTTCCCCTTTAGCTCCCCAGTGTGCTGCTCCTGGATAAAACAACCCTCATGAGTAAACAAAACATTATTACCATCATCAACAAGTTGTCCAACAGAAGTAAGGCTAGTAGTCAACTTAGGCACAAAGAAGGTTTTGGGAAGATGTAAGGGTGTAGACTCAGAAGTGAACAAAAATAAATCATCACACCCACATACAGGAAGAGAGTCGCTATTAGCAGTAATAATGTGGTTGACAGAGGTGTAAGGTTTAGAAGACTGACTAAAGGAGGCCCCAGTCATGTGGTTTGAGGCCCCAAAGTCAATGATCCACATGTGTGAAGGAGAACACAAATAAGCAGACTTACCAACTAGTCCAATAGCAGAGGACATGAGCTCACGAATCTTATCTTCAGTCAAATTTCCTTGTGCATCAGGTTTGTGAGTTGATGAGGAGGAGGCAGTATCAGTAGGAGTCAGTTCATCCGAGGCTTGATAAGCCTTATGTTGTCCTTTCATGGGGGCTTGGTTAGGCAATCCACTATAATGTGTCCCTGCTATTTGCAGTAGGTGCAGAAAATTTTCTTCTTAAAGTGGGATGCCACATGTCCGAATTCCTTGCATTCATAGCATTGCATCTTCGAGAAGTCCTTCTTCCCTTTCTATTTGGTAGCCAAGAAGACAGTATCTATTCCATGTTCCTTTTTCTGATCAAGTGCAAACTGGGCGAGGAGACGTTTTTCCTCTCTTAACAACTCTCCAAGTATTATGTCAAGATCAGGTACAGGCTCTCTGTTGAGTATACTAGAGCGAAGAGTCTCATAATCAGATCTAAGATGCATAAAAAATGCATAGTCTTTCTCTTACTAAGATGTTTCTTCATAGTTTTCACACAGGAGTCTGTAGAGAGACCCCCAAAGTGAGCCAATTCATATTCAACCTAAAGGTTCACAAACCCAGCATAATATTCCTGAATCTGCTTCTCCCCTTGAATATAAGAAAAAATATCAACTTCAATCTGATATTGCCTAGACATATTCGATTGTTGATATTATCTTTCCAAGGTATTCGAACATGTCATGGGCAGATTTGAGTCCCCTCATCGGAATACTGACATCCATTGTGACAGAACCAAGAATCCATGAAACAACTTGTGCATTCTCAGTTTTCCTCTGTTTCAGTCCTTTGACATCATCAGCATTGGGTATGGGTGTGGAACCATCAATATAACCCCACATACCCTTCCCTTCAACAAAGTACTGGAAATGGAACTTCCACAGAGCATAGTTGCTCCCATCAAACTTGACAGAAATAATTTCACTCTTTTCCAGACCCATGTTGAGTAAGAACACAAAGGAAAACTAGTCGAAACAAGCAATATAAGCTGAGAACTAATCCAAGAGAGTCAAGATATAAGAGAAGAAGCCTCTTACAGTCAAAAGAGAGTGTCCAAGGTACAACAATAGATGAAATCTGAGAACACAGTCCAGAAAAGGAAAGACTGACTGCTGCCGCCCAGAAGAGATGTATATATCTCTTCTGGAATCTGAGAACACTGTGTTCGTGGAACACAGTCCACAAACAGATGTTTTTCGAGAGAGATCCAATGAAATCTCTCTTGTTGATTGCACAAAAACACAGAAAACTGGTTCCTGGAATGATCAAAACAGTCCAGAACCAATCGATGAAGAGAATAGCCCTCATACAGTTTAAAAAAAAGAGAGTAATGGATCAAAGAACAGCCCACTCTGATACCCTGTCAATCTATGAGAAAGTGAAGAGACGAGAGGAAAGCCAATAGTTCAGATCTGTTAGGGTTGATCAATCTGATTGAACCAACCCAAAGAGAGTGTTTATATTAATAAAATGTGAATGGACAAGATTGTCCTTACAAAAGAATTATAAGAGTTGTACACTAATGTACAAGAAAGAAAGGTAAAATTACAAAACTACCCTCCGTCTTCTCTACGTTTTAAGGTATTCCATTGGCATCATTTTTGATCAATATTCTTGGCTGGTTATGACAGATCTTTCACTCTCAGTGTTTTGCTTTTGTGCTGCATAGGGATCTGTATGTCACTAGTACATAAGCCTTAAAAAGTTATTTTCATTGTGTAAAATAGAAACTGTATTAGAATAATTATTGATTTCTCACTCTCTCTTGATTGGTTAAGTATACATTTAATCAATAACATAATAATAAGGAGAGGACACAAGTTGTTGCATGCCCAACATGCCATTTAGATGTTGCAGATTCTAAAAGAAAAGGGAGTTTGTCATCATATCGTATTGAACTTAACACTTCCTCTTGTATTTTCTTTTTGATAATTCTGTAAATATTTATGTTAATATATATCAGGAGGGGATAAAGTCTAGGATGAAATAATATTTTTACATTGTTCATAAGAAGCCTGTACACCATATACAAATCAACAAGAAAATTTCATCTAATTTCTCTTTTGTGGTGCCATTAGGTAAGGTCCATAGTATCATGACTGTTCTCTAGACAAATCCCTTAGGGGAGATGACTTGTTTCTTCTATTGAGATTTTAAAGAATCGTTTAGAAGGATTAGAAGATAATTAAATGTCTAGGTCATCCATATGTGCTATATTACTTCTATTGCATAAGTACACAATCCTCTGTTTCAATGGCTAACTGAGAATGAGTTGCCAGCTTTTCTTCTACAAGCCCAATCTGTGGTGGCCAAATGGCATGGGGAAACAGTCCCTGTACAACGTGGAGATCACAGTTGAAGTAAAGGGATTTGGAGAGTCTGATTCATGGAGTCATTTATTTGGATTCCGCAAAATTGAGAGCTATATAGATAATGCCACTGGTGGAAGGTATATTTCTTTTCCCAAATTCTATATTTGTGGCCTCTTTTTATTAGGTGGTAAATTTTCTCAAACATTTTTAATCAACACTTTCTGCCTTGTAGGCTTTTCAAGGTTAATGGGCATCCTGTTTTCATCCGTGGTGGTAATTGGATATTATCAGATGGATTACTACGACTATCTAAGAAACGATACAAAACAGACATCAAGTTTCACGCAGATATGAACTTCAACATGCTCCGTTGTTGGGGTGGTGGAATAGCTGAGAGGCCAGAATTCTATCATTACTGTGATATTTATGGGTTGCTGGTGAGCTTGTTAGTTTTTTAAGACTCTGCAACCTCAGGGTTTCCTTCATGAGCGTTAAGCTTTGTTGGTAGTTCTTTTCTGTCCTATGGATTTTCCACATATCTTTTTGGTTGATTCATCATACATGGGATTATATAAATATCATCATCACCATCATCGTCGTTTATGCCATATCCCAACCATATGGGGTTGGCTACATGAATCCTATTTTACCAGTTCGTTCTGTTTAATGCCATATCCATTGTTAAATTATTGGCACTTAAATCATTTCTTGTTACTTCTACTCATGTCCTTTTTGCTCTACCCCTTTCCCTTTTAGCCCCTTCAACTTGTAACTAATCACTTCTTATGGGTGCTGTTGATGGTGTTCTATGCACATGACCAAACCATGTTAGTCTACTTTCTCTGACTTTATCACTATTGGAGCTACTCCTAAGTCCTTATGAATGACTTCATTTTTTATCCTATCTTTTCTACTTTTTCCACTCATCCATCTCAGCATACACATTTCTGCCATACTCATTTTCTAGACATGTTGTTTCTTGACTATCCAACACCCTACTCCATACAACATATGCTGGCCTTAAAACTGTTTTATAGAAATTTCCTTTTAATCTAAGTGGTATTTTCCTATCACATAAGACTCCAAAAGCACTCGCCCATCATACTCTAATTCTATAGGTGTCATCCTTCTCAATCTCTCCCTTTTTATGAATTATAAGTGTGTACGTGCTTTGCATGTGGTGGCAATTCTAAATGATGATAATTATAATAATAATATATCCGAAATGTTCTATAAACTTTATTTATTTTTTATTTTTTGTTTTTTATTATTAATTAGATGCAGATTGCAAAATCCAAATCTGATTACATAAACACCTCATCCAAATATATGATAATCAGATTGAATTGTAAAGTTTCAAGTATCATTGACAGGCTATTCTGCTTGGCTCAACTTTTCTTTTGCAGTGTTTTATCTTTTTGGTGTATCTTTTTTCTTTTGTTCATTTATCAAAAAAAATGTAAGATTTAAATAGAGGGAATTGAATGAAGTGAAAAGTAGTATTTTAATTTACAATTTAAACCTTACAATTAAATAGGGACTAAATTCAAAAATGAGTATTTTAGTTAATGTTGTAAAAAATGGACCAAATCAAATGGTCAAACTATTTATCCCAGGAATCGGTCAGGTCACTAGTTCCATTTTGGCTCTGAACCGCTATTTTACAAAAAAATTGAAATGGTAAGAGAACCACTGACTTGGACGGTTTAATCGTTAAAATGTTTGACCCGGTTAACGGTTCTTGAGTTGCTTTCAAACTAATTCCAATTTTTTTATTTATTTTAAAATAGAAATTAAAAAATAAAAAAATTGAAAAAAAAACTTTCATATGTCATAATCTTGTTTGACTATTCCCAATGAGGCAAGCGATTTGGGATTTAAGAGAGATTTAGAGAGATAAGAAAGATGCAAGAAGAGGGCAAACAATGCTATGGCTGTGATGGATGAACATGGAGATAACTGCCACCAACGGTTTTGCAAGGCAAAACTATTACTACTTCTTCTTCTTCTTCTTCTACTACTACTACTACTACTACTACTACTACTACTATTACTACTTCTCCTCAAGGCAAAACGGTTCTGCAACAACAACCAGTGAACATGGTGACAATCACCTTCGGCAATTCTTCCCTCTCTTCTTCTTCTTTCTCAGCATTAACCAACCGCCTCCTCAAAGTCTCATTGGGTTGGTTACTAAAACCTTGATTTTAGTCAAAAGAAAGTTCCACAATCTCATTCATATTTTTAATAGTAGTGTAAATATAGCATTATAAACGTGTCCAATTTTTTCTTTAATTTTTTTTTTATATTTTTGTGTGTAAAAATAATTCTGATATGTTATACTTACTTTTAGTTTAATATGATAAGTGCATGATATTATACATGTGCCCAAATGCTTTTTTTTTTGCAAATTTTATGTATTTTTTTCATTTTTTGTATTTGTATAGTTTATTAATTTTTATTATTTATGACATTAAAGGTTAACACATTTAACCCAAAAGTTGAACTGTTTATTGTTAATTTTTATATTTCATTTTTGGTCAGTTTTAAATTATGTATTCTATTTTCATTAACAATAAAAATAATTCTTGTTTATTACACTTATTTTATAATTTGATTAATAAAAATATCATAAATGTGTCTAATTTTTTCTATATTTTTTGTAAATTTCTGTATTTATTTCTATTTTAAAAATTTTATTACATAACTATGACTTCATAGGTTGATCAAATTGATTCAGATGGTTGAATTGCTTAGCCGCCAATTGGATAAAGAATGGTTTTGTTTTTGAGTCAATTTTAAAATATATGGGTTTATATTGTTAAAAAAATCAACATAGATCTAAGTAGTAGCATTTATTAGTGAAAAATAAATTAAAAATATAGGATTTAATAAGAGAAAATGAGATTTAATACCTTAAGTATAAGACTTAATGAGAGGGGATTAAATGAGGTGGAAAGTAATAATTGAAGATACATTTTCAACCCTTATAATTAGAGATGTATTAAATACACAAATATGACCATTATAGTAGCCATTAAAGCTAGCACTAAAGCTATAATAAAATGACTTTTATTCCTTTTCTCAAACAAAGAAATAGAGGGTAATTTTAGTCCAAAAAAGTCTCACACTGCATTCACACTTTTATATATAGTATAGATTATTGAACCAAGGTATTGAAAACGGTCACATTGAGTTATTTCTTGGTCTCCAATCCTAAGTGTACCCTGATTTTCACTCTCATTGTTATTAAATTTACATGCCATGTATTTTCTTTTAGTCCTATTTACTTTAAAACCTCTTGTTTCTAAAGCATTTATCCATAAGCTTAATTTTGCATTTAATCCTTTGTTAGTTTTATCAATTAAAGCGATGTCATCAGCAAACAACATGCACCATGGGACCTCATGAATATGTTTAATTCATCTCATCCATGATTGGTGCAACTAAATAAGGGCTAAGTGTTGAACCCTGGTGAAGGCCCATTGTAATTATAAAATTTGATGTCACTCCCACATATGTTCTAACATTGGTTGTTGCACCATAATACATATCCTTAATTAGATCAATGAATATCATATGGAGATTTCTCCCTTCCTATTTAAACTATTCTATCAATCTTTTTAAAAGAAATATAGCTTCCATGGTTGATCTCCCTGGAGTAAAGCCAAATTGGTTTTCTGATACACTTGTTCCAAGTCATAATCCTTGTTCAATTATTCTCTCCCAAAGTTTCATAATGTGGATCATGTGCTTAATTTCTTGAAAGTTATTACAACTTTGCATATCACCTTTTTACTTAAACATAGGCACTGTACTACTATTTTTCCAATCATCAGGTATCTTGTTTTCTTTCATGATTTTATGGAAAAATTCAGTTATCCATAATAAGTCTACCTCTCCCATACCTTTTTGAATCCCCATTTGCATCCTAATGCTTTTCCCTTCATCTTATTTAGTGCTTCTTTCACTCTAGTAGTTATAATTTCATCAAGGCATATGTTATTTTTAAGACAATTTATAATTTTGTATTACTAGTCTCTCCTCCATTAGCATCCTCTACATATTGTTTGTTTAATATCTTTTAAAAATAGTGTGGAAAAATAAAGAGGAAGAGAAGAAGAAATGAAGAGGGAGAGAAAAAGAAATACTTCTGTATTGATAATGTGTTGATAAAACATGTTGAGCATACAACTTAAATAAGAAAAGATAGGAGAGACAAAACTCCTAGGATTTCTCTCAATTACACCTAGAATCTCCCTCAATTAGGGATTGATTAA